GAACTGGAAAGGAACGCCCAGGATAGAGTGGGTTGGAGAATGCTGGTCAGCAGCCAATGCCCCATTGGGATTAACAGGCGTAAGTAAGTAAGTCAGTACCTGTACCAAGAGTAACCTCGAAATAGTTGCTTCTTACAATGTAGATTTTATCCGAAGTATAACTTTCTATAGAAAAAAAACTTACTCCTTTGTGTTTTGTTTGAAATAGACTAACAGTTAGATTGTATCATTGTCAACGTATTGAATAACGGAGAATTAAGTCACGTATAAACAGATCTGAAAACAAGAAGAAAAACGTCAAAGATGTCGCTTGAGCTAATCTGAGAAAGTTGTTTCATCAATCTATCGGGATTTTTATGTATAGAAATCTTGAAAACGATTAGAAATAATTGATATAAGCTTTCATAAGTTGTTAAACATCTTTAAGATATACTACAATTTCCTTTAGAATGAATAAGTGTCTCTAACTCAAAGTTGTCTAGCTGGGAAACTGTGCTTAGCGGAATGTCTCAAAGTACAGCGTTATTCCTCTTTGTATGTAAATGACCTTCTTCGTCTAATATCATCATCTGTGTTGATATATACTGACGATGCCAAGATATGGAGAGCGATACAAAGTAAGGGTGATCGCTTAGAACTCCAAAATGACCTGGAGAAATTAACTACATGGTCTCAAACCTGGCAGTTGCCAATGAACGCTTGCGACTGTATTATGATGCATATAGATCACCAAGGTACAAGTACACACACGGTGAATAACACTGAGTCACATGTTGTCCAGACACACAATGACTTAGGAGTCATCGTTAGCCAAGACTTAATGACTACTGAACACTGCCGTGCAATAGCCTCAAAAGGTTTTAGAACCTTATAGTCAATACGTAGGGCCTTTATCCATGTCGATGCTAAGATGTTTTTTACATTGTACAGTGCTCGTGCGTTCTAAGCTGGAGTACTGAATACAAGCGGCTAGCCCCTGCCTAAAAAAAGACAGTGAGCTTTTGGGAAAATTTCAGTGAACCAAAACTAAACTGATTCCCAAAATAGCGAAGCTCCAGTATGATACTCGAGAAACTAAACTCGAACTATTCCCATCGTCATATAGAAGAATCAGAGGCGACTTGATCACAGTTTTCAAATTACCTAGTGATAAATTTGCACCTCATATGCTCTCATTTTCCTTGTCTTCCAAAACAGAAAATTTATGTGGACACTAAAAATGTTCGCAAGCCCAGAACAAATCACTTTTCAGTTGATTATCGACTTTTCCATCGAAATATCAACGAATGGAATCCCTTACTTCAACATATGATTGAAGTTCCATCTGTCAATGCTTTCAAAAGAAAGTTGGATCAACTGAGAGACCACCATTGCCAGGACTAACAAGCCACCTAGCCTCCTGTTCTTTCCAAACTGAAACAAAACTTGTCTGTATTACGATAGATCAATGTACAGATTATATTTTCAATAATTTCTGTATTGACGAGTCCTTAAGTGTTAAAAATTACAAGTCGACTTACAAATTCCAATGTCATTTCTAGCGTTGATCGGTGTCTGCTGTATGATACAACTTCATTATGTTTCAAAAAAACTCTACGTTAAACTTATTTTTACAGTGAAGTAATTAATTATGTGCAGTATTCGTCGTGTATTAATATTAATTTAGGTATCATTGGACAGTTGTTTCGTTATGTTATAGAACTAGTAAGCAATACTGAATTACGATTTTACCAGGAATCGAACCAAGAAATTACAGGTACCACATCGACATTTGACTATTAGATCATTCATTCAATTTTAATCAGTTCGAGAACTACATAATAAATCTCTCTCTCTCTGCCTGTTACTCCCAATGGAGCATAGGCCGCCGACCAGCATTCTCCAACCCACTCTGTCCTGGAGATCCCTCCCTTTCCAGTTATGTCCAATTCTTGTTCATTTTTTTCATGTCTATTTCCATTTCTCAAAGTAATGTGTTCATTCGTCTTCCTCTTTTCCTTTGGCCTTCAGGATTACATGTGAGGGCTTGTCTTGTGGCGCAGTTGGGTGATTTCCTCAATGTGTGTGTCCTATCCACTTCCAGCGCTTCTTCCTCCGCTGGGATCTGGTTTGTTCTATCCCACAGTACGTTGTTGCTAATAGTGTCCGGCCAACGGATCTGGAGTATTTTGCGTAGACAACTGTTAATAAACACATAATAAATAACGCATTACAAATCAAACTAAACGGATCAAACACATATACGCCACCCAGCCTCTTTCCAACCAAACTAGTTGGTGAAGCCTAGCAGACCCTTCCAGAGAAGCAGCAATATCGAAGCATGGCGCAACTAACAGGGCTCAATAATTGTTTTTACAGATATTTGTTTTGTCTTAGGTCTTGTTGTTTTTGGTCCAGTAATAATTGTGCTATTTTTCTTTGTAGTATTCATAATTATTTGTGGGTAACAGTAGAGTGGATGATTAGCTCGATCTCTACCACCTGGGTTTACCGCTCACTTTAGTTCATTGAATTGAATTCCACTATCCAGTAGGTACGACGAGGAGGTATGAGTTGGGTTTTTACCTTCAAAAACACATATATACTACTAACAGATAATGATTTTCTATACAACATATAAACAGAAACACCATTAATACAAAAAAAAAAAATAAAACGTAAGTGATCAAATTTCACAAAAAGGATTTCAATAAGACAATAAATAGTACAAATGAAAACAGATGTAAAATAACAGAGTTTATTGATTTTTGAAATTTGTATAGTGACAGAGGTAGAATAAAACTATGACAGTCAATAGTGAAATAAAACAAACACAACAACAACAATAGCGATTTTTCAAAATAATCAAATGACCTTTTCTTCTCCAATTGACAAGAGAATAAATAAAGTTTTGAAAATAGAGAAGAAAAATAATTCATAGAATAAATATAAATGCCCTGGTATGACCGAGATTGAGGAGAGTCAACTCTCTATCTCCAAATGCTCTCGAATGGATACGCGTATATAATCTCTGCCAGGGAAGTCCTACTCACTGCCTTCTCGAGGTTGGGGTGTTGTTTACGAAATTTGAGAGGACGAAAAGCGAATGTCCGGCGCTTTAACCGGGTTAATAGATATGGAGGATCCACCTAGTCTAGTTGGAAAACCATAATTCCAAATCAATGGTGCACATGAGCTCCAGGATCCTGAGGGAACAAATGGCGTGTGAACTGATTATTGGTCACCGGTTACCATGGGACTACAGTCAGTCAATCGGCTACAACGTAGGACCAGGCACGTATGTGCATAGGTCCAAGTTGCTACACCATATTAGCATAACAAGATGAACACCGAATTCATAGAAGTAGTTACTTCAATAGTAGTAATATATAAAAGATTGTGTATAAGAATATAATACAGGAAGAAACAATTAGTTCGTAGAAAGAAAGATATAAAGTGACTTTAATCTCACGGTTTAAGGGAGGACAAAGAGTGTATACACCTACGCCATTATGATAGATTCTGAGCTTTGTCAGCCAAAGACTGTATCTCCTGACGTTTCTCCACTGTCTTGTAAATCAAACCTTTAGGTCGAAGGCTCTGGGTGTGGCTCCCTCAGAAAACCACCTGCTTCGGTCTGAGCACCCGGGCAGTATCACACCCCATACACAAATCAAGTGACTTGTGTGGCGCATATGTATTTGGTACTCCTTTATAACAATATTTATATGTTCAAACCCTATTTGTGTTTGGGATTTTAACTGATCGTTCACTTTTGGTATACGTTCGGATTGCTTGTGACTTAGTGGTACACAGTGCAATTTAGTTTAAAGAACAAAATTCATTATCTAACAAAACTTCATTTAAGAATGACATTCTGAACACCGCAACAATACTTTTTTTCGATATCAGTGTATTTGATCTACTATTTATATAGATTTTTATCATTGAGGATATTGAATCAATCTGTTAGTGGGAACTTTTGAGTTTGTATAATGATGAAGATTTGAGCATTACCAGTAGTTACAATCATTGTTAAACATTTGCCAGGTCTGTTCATTGATGGACTGATGTGATGTTACTGTTTTAGGTCTTAAGTATCGTTCACATCGTGATTTCTCGTGGAAAGATATTTTGTACTTACTGAAAAAAACAATGTGAGGCTTAAATTCGAAAGAAAAGTGTGTATATTACATAGAATAAAGCTATTCATATGGATATTTATATAAACTACACCGAGAGTATTTATGATACACGAATCGATGTGTCAATTTCCTAGACATAATTATTGCTGCTCTTAGTTGAAAACAGTAATAAAATTCAGTCACGACCGTTCATCTATTTTTTTCTAGTGTACTGATTGAAAGGCTGTGGGTAAGCACTTTTGAGGGGTGTCATACTGAAATGAAACATATGACTAGTGTTCCGTGGTTACCCACCAATCGTATCTTAACTGAGATCAATCTGTGATGAATACAATGTACAAAATCTCTTCGACCAGACAATAATAATGAATCATTTTAGTGCACTTAATTTTCTTCTTTCAAACGAACTTATTATATTGAGTAGGATTTACAAAAAAAAAATAAATGGAAAAGTTAATAGACATTATGGATTGGGTACAGTGAACAAACTTCACGAACCTACATTTAAACAATCAACCATATTTGTGCACTAACTATTAAATAACTTTGTGATGAACTCCTGACGTCCCAGTGAGAGGTTGTTATAACTGATCTAGTTTGACAATGTCGAAAATGAGACATATACCCGGCGAAAATCGGATGAAAACGACCTTATGTTACAAACCATAATTCTGAACGACTGGATATTGAGTCATTGACTTAATGGTATAGTAAAATGGTTACCACCAGACCTGAAGGTGCTCTATTTAGTCTCGTATAAAATGATGAGTATGCATTGCTGATAAGTCACAAATACGATATGAAAATATTGTCAAGTGCGTTCTGTCAGACTATGAACAAGGTTCATTTTGAGTGGAACTTAGTAATGAATACATATGAATTGCATTAAATATATTTATGCAAGAACTTTTCAATTCTTTACATATGTACACAGAAACAATAAAAGGTGGAAATACAACAAGATAATCCCTTATTTCTTTTGAAGAAAAAAAACAAGGTTTAAAAGTGACATGGGGGTGAAAAGTCATGAAAATAAACACACAGTGATTGGTGATCACGTTGGATCAATAGGAATAACGAATAGTTATTTTCTCTGCAAAGACAGTGCGGTATAAAAAATAGTACTTATCACGTGACAAAACATTTGTTTCGCAATGGGAACTAGGGGAAAGAAAAAAAAACGATAGGGAAAACTGTAAACCTACAAAGTATTGAGTAAGAAAAGTAGGTAGTGAATAGTAACCAACCTAAACGAATATTTGGTCAATGCAACAAAGATTCGACATGATCACGTAATGTATTTCAAAAGATTAGCATAGATAAACTAACTACTCTTTTCATATATAAGTAGTTAATTTAGAAAAAGAAAAAAAGAAGAGTGGGATATGGTAGTGGTAATAATTGTTACGGAATAAGAATAAGATACTTTCTATGTATGGATTAATTAACGATGAAAACGTTAGGAAAAGTGAAAAATGATTGTTTTAAAACACACAGAAGCAAACGAAATGTATTTTGATTTGAAAGATGAATATTAAACTTGTCGATGATAATATTCGTTTCAATTTGAACACAGTGGCAGCGTTTAGAGTTAAATTTTTGTCTCATTTATTCAGTAATATCTTTACGTGTACGATGATGATGATATTTACGTTGTCTTGAATTAGCCGATGCATTAAGATTATCACTAGTTAATAAATCAGAAACAGGAATATTAGGCAATTCAGCAGTATCTGGTTGACTAATAGTATTAGTAGTAGTACTGGTATACTCGGCTGATTTAGGGAGTGATGATGTATTACTTGACGCCTTTATCTCATCCGTCCCAGTATTATTCATCGGTTGGTTTGTCCTACTAATAACATATCTTTTAAGTAGTTTAGCACGTGGATTTTGTTGAATTGAAGCAGAATATGGAACTAGTTCCTTAACAGTACCTAGAATCAAATAATAATAATAATAATAATAATAATAATAATAATAATAATAATAATAATAATAGTAAGTACATGTAACATGTTGAGTAATAAGAAGGTTCAATACAAAGTCAAACAATATTAGACATGTTTATATGAGAGAGAAAAGAATATTCGGTAAGCATCTCTTCAGAAAGAAAGTGTCATTGTTGAACATCTAACATTTTTTACAGTTTACACTACCGACTGGCTTTAGTTAGATAAACACTGAAAACTAGAAACAACTGTAAAGCTGTTTCATCCAAGTATGAAACTACTATCAGTACTAAACATTCATAGCGTCACCTAGAACCTGTAAGTTTTGTAATAAGTGCTTAACCTAAAACCTACTGGTTTGACATACACTAGCCTAATTTCTGACTTCAACTAATTCATCATATTGCAAAAACATCTTCCAATATCATCGGTGAGTAACTATTTCGCATTAGGTATGGTTAAACTCCACTAGTCACAACTTTTCACAAAAACTCCGTGAATTACCTTTCAAAAGTAGTCACTGGTAAGTATTACAAATCATTTTTATGACTAGCAATAAATTACCTAACCACTCTAAGCCACTGACACTCTTGACGACTACAAAGAGAAGAATTCAGCCAATAATTAGATGCAGGTAAATAAAGTTTTCATAGTATATGTAACACAAATTTGGAAATATGTATAATGTAACTATCACTAAACTTATTTAACACATATTTTCCACCATTAGAAATATTGCTGGCGTATGCTGAGATCACCGGGTAAGTAATAGTGAGGTTAGACACAGGGTATTAGGGAATGATGGTAAATCAGTTGATGAGGTTGTGAATCTCCATCGACTGAGATGGTTGGGCTACGTGCTACGCATGCCTGAACACCGTTTACCACGATGTGCAATGCTAACCGGTGTTGTAGATGGTTGGAAGAAAGTTAGAAGCGACCAAACCAAAACGTGGCATCAGTGCTTGAAGTCACTAACTTCTAATCTGAGCCATGTTGGTAGATGCAGACTACTTGGTTGGGGTCCACGTGACTATCGTAACCAATGGTTGGAGACTGTGTGTGACATGGCTCAGAACCGATCACAATGGCGTAGGTGTGTACACTCTCTATCTTCCCTTAAACTATGAGATTATAGTTATTTCATATTTTTCTTTCTAAGAACTAATTCTTTCTTCCTGTACCATGTCCTTCTATGCAATCTTTCTTTTATATATTATGGTATATATGAATCCGATGTTCATTTCGTTGTGTTAATGAGGTATGGCAACTTGGACCGATACATATATGTGCCTGATCCTACGTTGTAGCTGACTGACTGACTGACCATTAGCTAACTTAAGTTAAACAACCGTGTAAAATGAAGAAGTACCTGTTTCGTTCTAGTATGGTATTTCTAAGTAATATAGTGAATTAATTGAAATCATAAAATATAAGCTGTTAGATGCCAAATCAATAAAATGGTAGCCTAACGGTTAAATCACTTATCTTCCAACTAGAATATTGTGGATTCCAACATCATTCCACAAAATTTGTTTTAATCAATTGGGTTGTATTAATATCCCCCGCACAACTAGAGTGTAATATAAAGTTGGGTAAATCAATGCCAACTCAGTGGGTTTGCAGATGAAATACTTGTTGTGAAGCTAAAAGATCACAGATTCAATCATTGATGCAATTGTGGACGTACACCACTGAATAGTATACAGATATACTAAGGGACAAAATAATTATGATATCAAAATGAATACAATTTTTCACCATTAGCTAATTTTGCTTACCAACAGCTTTTGTTTTACCTTCACGAAATATTAAACGTAGACCAGTATATAAATATTCAGGAGATTTAATAAAACGAAATACAACCATATCTTTATCACCGGTTCTTAAACGTTCATGTGAATTTAATTTTAATATTGTTGCAGTTTGACGTACAGGACCTGCATGAACCATAGCTTGATAACCAACTGATATAGTTGTAGGATGATGTAAAATTAATACTTCAGCAATAAATTCAATACATGCTTTCGGTTTCAATTCTGGCGCTAACAATACCATACCCTTTTATAGTAATAATAATAGCGGGTAAAAATGGAATTACAGTTTATTGTTAAAATGTGTCATAATAAATATATTCAAATATATTACCCTTAAATGTAAAGTATTACTTCAAGGACTGATCTATGGTCAAAGCCTGAACTAATGATAAGGGATAAAATATTTGGATGTATCAATTACTTTACTCATCAACAGCCATGATGGATTGGTATCTGACGAAATCTTAGCAAGGATCAAGAAAACTCAATTGACTTTTTTCAACTTACATAGCTTATAGGGTAGGCAAGGTGTTAGTGTGACAACTAAAAAACGAATATACTGATCAACAGTTCGCTGTGTTCCAGTTTGTAGACGTGAAATGAACTCGGAAAATAAAGAATATTCATGGATTGCCAATATTTATCCTCGAAACATTTGTCACATATGTTGGGACCTCCGAGTGGGCAATAATCAGTTTAGACACAGAGTACTAGGTGAAGATAGCGAATTGTTTGATGAGGTGGTTGAGATATGTATTGCTTATAGTCGACAACCATCAACCTCAACAGATGGCATTAACTAATTATGAAAGTAAGCTGGAAATAAACTAGGGATGCCCAGACTAAAATGTAACATCAGTCCATAAAGTCATTGACTGTAAGAGTGAATCCTGTATCTAGTTGTAGACTAGTTGATTAGGGTCCACGTGATTATTTTAATTAGAGGTTGGAGATGTTGGATGAAACACACCAAAACCGAACATATTAGTACAGATACATCCACTCTCTGTTTTAAGACTATCTCATGCTTTTAGTTCATTCTTTCTTCTCGGATCATGCTTACGTACTTATTTACGCCTGTGACTCTTAATGGAGCATAGGCCGCTGATCAGCATTCTCCAACCCACACTGTCCTGGGCATTCCTTTCTAGTTCCATCCAATTCTTGTTCATTTTTCTCATGTCTATTTCCATTTTTCAAAGTAATGTGTTCTTTCGTCTTCCTCTTTTCCTTTGGCCTTCAGGATTCCGAGTGAGGGCTTGCTTTGTGACGCAGTTCGGTGCTTTCCTCAATGTGTGTCCTATCCACTTCCAGCGCTTCTTCCTCCACTGGAATGTGGTTTGTTCTCTCCTATAGTAGGTTGTTACTGATAGTGTCTGGCCAACGGATCCGAAGTGTTTTGCTTCTACTACTGTTAATAAACACTTGTATCTTCTGAATGATGGCCTTCCTAGTTCTCCAGGTTTCCGCCACATACAATAGAATTGTCTTGACATTTGTATTGAAAATCCTGACCTTGGTGTTGGTTGACAGTTGTTTTGAGTTCCAGATGTTCTTCAGTTGTAAATATGCTATTCTTGCTTTTCCGATCCGCACCTTCACATCTGCATCAGATCCACCGTGCTCATCAATGATGCTGCCCAGATATGTAAACGTTTTTACATCTTCCAAATATTCTCCGTCAAGTGTGATTTGATTGGTGCATGTTGTTCAGTATCGGAGAATCTTGCTTTTCCCTTTGCGTATATTGAGACCTACTGATGTTGAGGCTGCTGCTACACTGTTCGTCTTCTCCTGCATTTGTTGTTGCGTGTGCGATAGAAGAGCCAGGTCGTCTGCGAAGTCTAGATCGTCCAACTGCATCCTAGCTATCCACTGTATCCCATGCTTCGCCCCAGATGTTGACGTCTACATGATCCAGTCGATCACCAGGAGAAAGAGGATCATATCATTTCGCCTCCCCCAAAAACGATATTTAACAACTCAAATGAGAAAAATAAACAAACAAACATACATTACAATAATTTAAATCTATTTCAATACTTACTTTACGAACTTGATTACGTCGTAATTTTTTCAATGCAAATGATGCAGTTTGTCCACCACGTACATAATTCACTGATAAACGTTTACGTTGTATACTTTTAATTGAAATTGGATTAAATTGTCCAGATAAATCAGGACCAAGTAATAAAATATCATTTAATTTAATAATACCAGATAAACATGTACCAGAGATAATTGTACCAACACCTTGTACAGAGAATATTTCATCAATTTGAAAATGTGCTAATTCATTTAATCGTGGCTCAGATCTTGATGGTAATAAATTAAGAAATAATTTTAATAAATCTAAATTTGTACCATTTACATTTGAAACTGGAAATATTGGACACATACGTTCTGAAGTGAAATTTGTTGCACAACAAATAACATCATCCCTGAAATGAATTATTGTTGTATAAAGAGGGTTAATAAAAAAAGAGAGAAATAAGTAAACAAATCAAAATAAATATATAATTTAATAGTTGAGATCATGAGTCAAATGAAGCTAGACAATCATGGAAAACCTGGGAGGGACTCTTCAACAATGAGCATCTACGATTCCACCCGGAGGGATTCGAACCCGAGACCTGTCGGTCTTGCATATGAATGCTTAACCTCTAGACCAATGAGTCGGTAGGCATTCAACGATGTTAATGTCTAACTTTAACCAATCCAAGAAATTGAACCACATTTCTACCATTGTCTACAGTCAGTTACTATCTCATAACAGGTTTTACATGGTGGTCTAGCTTCAACTGACTCATGATCTCAACTATTACATTAATATAATACCCACAAAAACCCCTTTCTGATATAAATATAATTATTGAAAAAATGGTAATTATTATCTCCCGGCAAGAATAATGAATGGTAACTGTTGGAATCTATTTATGGACTAATACTATACACATATTTTTATTGTGTAATTGTTGAGTAACTAAACTATGTATGTTCATATTCCTCTTATTATAAGCTTTATTTTGATCCCTAGACTATTATTATACGATCTCATTTCATTTGTGTGAGCGCTGTGATACTACCCGGGTGCTCAGACCGAAGCAGGTCGTTTTCTTAGGGAGCCACATCCGGAGCCTTCGACCTAAATGTCTGATCCACAAGGCAGTGGAGCATCGTAACAAGATGCAGTCCCATGCTAGCCGGTGCCAACGATCGGTTCATACGCCATTTTTTCCCTCAGGATCCTGGAGCCCATGTACACCATTGGTTTGGAATAAGAGTTTTCCGACGCTTCTATATGGTTCCTCCATACCCACCAACCCGGTCAAAGCGCCGGCCATCCGCTTTTCGTCCTCTCAATTCCGTAGACAACACCCCCGCCACGAGAAGGCAGTGAGTAGGACTTTCCTGGCAGACGCTATATATGCGTGGTCATATGAGAGCATTTCGATAGGGGGAACGAACTCTCCCCACTCTCGGTCGTACCAGGACATTTGGGGGTGATATGATTTTAGTTCACTTCAAATGTGAATTTTAATTTCCAGCATATTCACTGAGAAAAATAATTATTGGGTTGTTTTCAAACGTTGTTCATCAGCACTACTGATGAATTATAACTCTGTTCTTCATAACTTATATTTAATTTTGAGTTGAAGTTTCAAGAATGGTCATTTTTTGTGATAAGCATGTAATTCAATTAACTAAGAGCGATAACATTATTATATGGTAATCATGATTATTAGTACTATTAATATAACCCAGTTAATCAGTACAAGATTCTGTATTTAGATGTAAGTTTTACACTTTATTTTTGGTATCAAGGTTAGTAACACTATTTCCCTGTATATATCAATATAAAGGATGGGATGGGGCTCGACTATGAGAGAAAAAAGAGTGAAAGTTGAACTTTGTAGTCGTTAAGCTATCAATCAATTGTCCAAGGTACATTTTTATGATACAATGATAAATATACAAAAAAAATACTCACGTTGATGATATCAATGCTGGAATTTTTCGACAACCAGGTGATTTTAATATACGAAATAACAAATTCATTGTTTCATGTAGTACATTTGGTGGGCACATATCAATTTTTGTAACTACAACAAATACTGGCACACATAAAGCTAATGCCAGACCTAAATGTTCTTTAGCCATACCAATAACACCAGCATTAGCACCAACCATAAACATAACATAATCTGGTGCATGACCAGTCATACCAAATATGGTTGTTTTTAAATAACGTTCATGACCAGCTAAATCAATGAATGTGATTACCTGAGTAATAAAAAAAAACATAAAATTAAGTTAATTGATAGAAAAATAAGAAAAAAAATGCACCGAACGAGAGTGGAGCGAACAAAAATGAACAACGTTAATCTGCTGCTAAACAAGTGTCAATTGTCATGCATTGTCACTAGTACAATAGAATACCAGGGTTTACTGGTTGTTTAATTCTAGAAGAGTACAGGCCCTTGAAAAATTAATTACTAGAACAGAACAGCTATCCAGTCTTCAATGGCTTTTAATGTTATCCATAAATGAGGTCAATCTATACAGACTACTATTTACAGATCAAACAGACCTTCGGAGTATCCTTAACATCAATATTAAACAATTGTAAATCACACAATGCTTGACCGTGGTGGTCGATGGTGTATATTATGATGAAACGAACTACGCATATTGGATGGAATAGTCGTTCCTTCAGGTTTTACCATATTAGGCAGATTATTTGGAGGGCTAGAAGATGTCAACAATAAAAAGGTACACCTGACCTTTCCCAAAGAAACTTCATCACCGATGATAAGACTTTTAAACCACGAGGTTAAGACGTCAACTACTGCTTGCAAAAAAGCCATACAACCAACCCCTAGAGCTATGCTGTCATACCTTCAGGTTATCAAGACTATCCCTAATCCAGTTTTTCTTACAAGTATCTCAAAGAGAAGTATTTTCTTATAGCGTGGGCAACTAGTAAGTGACAACCACCAGCATATCCTTAACAGAAATTGAGATTGGATTTGTAAATCAATATATCTTAACTGCATTACGTTTAAGATGGCAGAAAAGTATTGATGTGGTTCAACAATGATATGATGCATAATTTTATGGATTTATCAGATATTAGTTCGAACTTTGCATGCGACTTTGTAGGTATTGAGATGATAATAACTTTCTAAACAACTGGCCAATTTCCTTAAAGATCTAACGAAAAAGGGGATAATTACGACTGAGATTTACGATTCAATTAAGCCGACTGGATCATTCACACCACGATTGTATGGTTTGCCTAAAGTACATAAATCGGGTCTTCCTCTACGCCCAGTTCTAGATATGTACAATTCTCCTTACCACAAAATCGCAAAGTGGCTAGTACGAATCCTAGAACCTTTACACAAATCAGTTGTTAGAAATAGTGTAAAAGATGTCTTCAACTTCATCTCCAAAGTAGAAAATATTAATGTAAGCATGAAAAATATGATCTCATTGGATGTAGAATCTTTGTTCACCAACGTACCACTTATAGAGACTATTGATTTTATATGCAAGCAAATATCAAAGAAGCAAATCAACATTGGCCTGCCTAACGATAGCCTAAGGGAACTGCTCCTAAGATGCACTCTGAATGTACATTTTGTCTTCAACAATACTTACTATAGACAAATAGAAGGGATAGCCATGGGCTCGCCTCTAGGCCCGATCTTAGCTGACCTCTTCCTAGCAAAGCTAGAAAACGGACCTCTCAATGAAACTATTAAGAAACTGGATTTATATTGTCGATACATTGACGACACATTCATTATCGTAGACCAAAACACTAGAAAAGAGGAACTCCTAGACCAATTCAACAGTGTTCACCCAGCGATCACCTTCACTGGTGAAAGCGAGCATGATAAGAAGCTGAGCTTCCTTGACGTCACGCTAAGCAGACGAAGTGACGGCACATTAAGTAGAAGCGTGTATAGAAGAAACCCCTCTTCATGCTAATATACTCACTTCTGCAGTTTCACACCCATCCGTTACAAGAGAAATTTGGTCAGATGTCTCACGAGCAGAGCAAAAAAGATCTGTACAGTAGACACTCTAAGTCAGGAGCTTGAATTTCTCAACAACTCACTGACCGAGATCGGCTACCCCAGCGCGTTCATCAAGAAATACATGCAGGATATAATAAAGAAGTCGGAGATTTCGACTGTTCGTAAGAAACCTTTATACATGAAAGTGCAATTCAACGGGGATGTGGCTAGTGACACTCTGAAATATAGGTTAACCAAAGTAATCACCAAGACATTCTACGCAGCCAATCTTGCGTTGACCTTCTCTTGTCGTCCAGCGATGTCTACTCAAACGAAGGATAAGTTACCTGAGTTGGCCTCTTCCATGTGCATTTACAAATTCAGCTGCTCCTGTGGAGATAGCTATATAGGGCGTACTACCAGGCAACTTAACCAACGAATGAGTGAACATTTACCAACTTGGTACATAAAGGGTCAGAGAAAAACTATTCGCAGTTCTATACTTGCACATCTTATTGATAGCGGTCATGCAGTAGATAAATTGAAATCATTTCGAGTTATCTATCGTATACCTCCATCATTTCCCGACGGAGTCCGTTCCCGTCTCCTATATATAGCTGAAGCCATTGGAATTCGTACATATAACCCCAATCTATGTGTACAGAAGAAATACGTGACTCCCCTATCCCTTCCATGGCCAGTTATAACTTAACTAACAATTTTTATTTTTTATTTTTTATTTTAAATTTTATTATTATCATTATTTATTTTATTCTATTTGTGTTATTGTTAACCTTATTTCCACATCCATTATTTGTTTGTCATTATCCGCCTCTTTGTATTCTTGACTATCTAATTATTTACACACATTTTATTACGTAATGATTTTTAAGGTTTTGTGATTACTATTCCTAGTCTATTTACCCATGTTTATTTGACCTTCTATTTCCAACGATTAACTATTGATAAGAGTTTTGTTATTATAGTTTATTATTCTTACCACTATCTGTTCACCTGTCTTCGTACTACTATCAACTTGTACTTTTACCTATTTTATGTGTAGTGACTTATTCTATTTCATTGTGATTATTGACTCATATTGCCTTGATTGGTTTAAAATTTTCGTATAAATATCCATGTTTATTAGAGTAAAGCCTGATGACGATCTAATTGAAAACAATTGTTCGCTTATATGTGTTGTTCTAATTTTCACAATGGGAATCTTTAATATTCAGAAATTTATCCAACTGATCAGTCGTCTTACATTTTTAATAATAGTTTATTCTAGGATTTATGTTAACTGATCATGCAGTTTGTATTAACTGTACATTGTCTACCGATCTGCATACAGTTGATCGTTTTGAGAACTTACCTTTCTAATAAAAAAAACGTGTTCATTATTAAAAACTTGCATTACAATAGAATTACAATACAATTAAATAAGGAATTGGCACCAATTGGACAAAATACGTAAAAAGATACAACAATGAAAATTAAAACGAATCAGTTGAATAATGAGTGGAACTGTATCACCAACGCTGATATTCACTGTTATATTACTTACAGTTTTGAGCTACAGATATGAACCGAGATATTTAGAAATACTTATAGTCCTTAAACAGTTATATCATGTATCGGCATAGTAACACCTGATCTATATTTAACCTCTTTTATAAGGTGAACAGAATAGAGCCCCAAAATGCATATGGTGACTAGATGTATATATAAAAATTCATCCATATGACCAGATTAATTGACCTGTGGAACTATGATGAAGGGCGAAGAAAATCCTTTAAATGAAACTAAATGGCTACTATGCTACTTATTTGTATGCCAGTTGCAGGGTCGAGTTGTCACTTGGGAACTGCAAACTGATGAAATGCACATTGACTATCTTTGTTGGCCGATCTCTTCCGTATAGATTGGCTTTATGTTGATGTGTCCGTTGATTGTTAAGTGCTCTGAATGCTATATTTTTAGAAATTCCCTGACGCCCTTGGAGTTTAAGAATTTGAAATTTCGATGCCTTTTCAATCAAATTCGTATTCATGGTTATCTACATGCATTGATCTCAGTACTAGCATATCATATCGCCTCACTGTTAATCTAAATTCATTTATACGTAGGTAATGTACAAATTATTCTGTAAATGATGTTGCACTTGTCCTCCTTCATTACTATTCTTTGGTTTGCACGAAATGGAATATATATATAAGTATTGAGGCTTTATCGTTAAACTACAAACTTTGACACAAAGCAATTCTGTGGAGGCATTTGTGTAAGATGAGAGAAAACATAAAAAAACAGGATTATTCCTTCAGAATACACTAGATGAATTAAATAATCATTAAGTACGAGATCGAATTTCGGAAGAATTACACAACAGAAAAGAAATTTGTGTATTACCGTCTTTATAAAGATAACTACAGAAAAGTCAAATAACATGTGTGTGTAAGAGAGAGAAAGAGAGGATTACCCGAATTATTGAAAAAACCTTTTAAAGCACATTTAAAAACGAATAAACCAAATACAGAGAGTGGTACAAAATAAAATTTACTTTGGCTGAAGCTTCACAAATTTCAGACCAATTCAAATGACCATGTACAGGTTTATTGACTACTTGACCAAGTGAACTAAAACCCAATATATCATGTGCCACTGAACTAGTACGTCCAGATTCCGCTTCATGTTTATGACGTAATAAACGTAAACGAGCTAAACCACGACCATTGTCCAATTCACCATGAGTCAGTACACCAAGTAAAGTAGATTTGCCTGCATCCACATTTCCTACAACTGCCACACTATGATACATGGAAGACAAAATTAAATATTAAATTGAACAAAGCCACAAGGATAGTGGATAAAATGTAAATAGATAAGAATATTTATAAGGTTAAATTATTTACAAGAAGTCAATAGATTGATTTAACTAATTAACCATACATCAATAAACATAGTCATTATGCACTAAGCTCAATATGCACAGTGGTATTTATTTAAGGTGTTCGAATTCTAACAACTAATGTGCACGTTCCAACCCTGTTTCATTTACTTTGGGTTTGGGCAACTGGATAACATCAGCCTTTTTACATTTAGAGTGTGACTACAAAGCTAAGTAGACGGATATGTATCTGATTGACGAATGAATAAATAATAATTGTAACAAAATACTATTTAAATCCTTCAAACTACCATATGGAACTGATGTAAGGGGGTGAAGAAAATAGCGACTGGTTATTTACGTAGTCAGATTAGTAGATAGTCTGATAGGTATTAGATAAGTTATGTATTTGCCTACCCTTTGTTATTATTGTTATTGACATTAAAATGTATTCACGGTATAGTCGGATCAGTCACGTATTCTTGATACCAATTATGTTGATGTCCTGTAGGATAAACACTGGTATGGTATTTAGTGTAGATATTCGTCTAGGGCAAATCAGTGTCCCACAGATGTAAAGGAGAAAACTGAGCGTTATTTGAGGAACAACATGAAATCCTAAAGTTTGAGCACTAAAAGTCTTTACGTATAAACTTGTAAAAATGGCTGTTTATACTGAATTCCAATATGACAGCTGGTTATTTATATATTTAAGAAAATTTCTTAGTACTGTAAAATCTTAAACATTTACTGATAAGGAAATCTAGTTTGACAATGAAACATCAGTAGTTAGTAGCAGCGTAGAATCTGGTACATATGTACATCAGTTCAAGTTGACATATAGAAATGAAACGTTCTATCAACAGTAATGATAAGATAGAATTTGTTGATAATAAAAAATAACTGAATTGCATTGATCAACATGAATGAACAAGAAATAGGATATTTCATCTCAATACCTTAATATCTTATTATCTAACTGGAGTGCATGAATATCATATGACAATCCGTGGACAATATAATCGTTAAGGGATGTTGTTTAACAAAATAAACACTTTTAAATAACGTTAAATTACAATGAAAAACAGTTAATGCGTACACAACTACTGCCAGGGAAGTCCTACTCACTGCCTTCTCGTGGCGGGGGTGTTGTTCATGAAATTGATAGGAAGAAAAGAGAATGTCCAGCGCTTTAATCGGGTTGGTGGGCACCGAGGAGCCACTTAGGGGAGTTGGAAAAACCCTGGTTCCAAACCAATAGTGTACATGGGCTCCAGGATCCTGAACGAGCAAATAGCGTATGAACCAATCGTTGTTCGCCGGATATCATGGGACTGCATCTCCTAACGTTACTCCACTGTCATGTGGACTAGAGCTCTAGCTTAAAGGCTTGGGGAGTGACCCGCTAAGAAAACCACCTGTTTCCGTCTGGGCACCAGGGTAGTATCACAGCCCACATACAAATCAAATGACATGTGTGGTGCATATATATTCATTGACCCTTTGTATCAATATTTATGTGTTCAAATAAATAGCTTTGTGTATCTGGAAGCCCTGATGCTGTTTCCTGTGGCCTCGCTGGTGTAGGTATAGCATTAAGTCTTAGGGCAGAACTAGCTCTCTTAGAGTGGATCCCAATAGACAGTCGTTTGTGCGCTGTCCGACTAAACGGAACACTAAGGACTCGGAAAGATAGGGACACTCGTCGTTGCCTCTTCGTCGTCTCTGCCTACTCTCCCACTGACTGCAGCTCAGACGATGTAAAAGATGGATTTTAAAGAAAGCTTTCCGACCGTCTCAGAAAAGCTAAACGCTCTGATGTAGTAATAGTGGCTTGTGACTTTAATGCTCAAGTAGGTAAACTCAGCGAAAGGGAAAGACACCCGGGTGGATCTTATAGCATCGTGGCTCAAAGAACAGATAATGGCGACAGTCTAGTGCACCTACGCTCAGATAACCGCCTGTTCCTTGCAAATACTAACTTTAAGGATAAGGAAAACACCTTTTAGCATGGCGACCCCCTAATTCGTCCCAACGTTGGACCCAAATAGATCACATCGCTATCAGCCACCGATGGAGGGGCTCGATAGAGGACTGTCGCTCATTCTGCAGCACATGCTTAGATTCAGATCATGCTCTAGTGCGAACGGGTATTTGTCTGCGTTTTACTAGACGTAGGAAAGACGCTGCAAGAAAACCTCTTAGGGTCCTGCTTAATGATAATCAAGCTGGGAGGATATTTCAGGAACTAGAAAAAAACAGTGAGGCAGCCAATGGTGTGGTGCCCACCCCGAGGTAGCGTGGAATGACATCCGAAAAGCTGTGGAAACAGCAGTGATATCTGCTAGTAAAGTAAGCTGCAAGGTTAGGGAGAAACACTGGATCTCAGCAGTATCAACCGCATTGATAGATGCTCGAAAACTCATTCCATCTGGCTCCAAAGATAACGAAAAGTGGAGTCAGCTTAATCCCAAGCTGACAACAAGCCTACGAAACGATCGTGAACAGTGGTTGGTAGCGAAAGCAAGAGAGATGGAAAAAGCAGCGGCAATAGGTAATGGCAGACAACTGTTCGAACTTGTTAAGGAAACCGGTATTAGGAACTTAACTGTAAGCAAAACTATTTCAGAGAAAGATGAACATACTATACATTCTTAATCCAGGAGATTGAATCGATGGGCAGAACACTTTAGGGATCAGTTCAAGTGGCCTTCAGCCACACTTCGGTTTCCCACGATCTCCAGTCGACCTGAATGGCAAGTTAATATAAGTCCTCTCAATCTTGACGAAGTTGAGAAAGCTATAGAAAATCTGAAACGAGGGAGAGCAGCAGGCCCTGACAGGTTCACCCCTGAGATTTTTAAGGGTGGTGACCCAGTATTAGCAGTGACATTAACTGAGGTCTTAGGTGGAATCTGGGAACTGGATGTAATCCCATCTGACTGGTCTCAATCACTGATTGTGCCAGTCTATAAGAGAGGACAAGAGTCCTCTTGTGACAATCACAGAGGAATCAGTTTGACTAATATAGTGTCTAAAATATTAGCCTCAATAATACTTCGACACCCAACCAAAGCTCGTGAAGAGCAGACTAGAGAAAACCAGGCTGGTTTTCGACCTGGACGTGGTTGTAAAGACCAGATATTCACACTACGTCAGGTTCTAGAACACAGACACACATTCAGACGTCCCACAATCGTAGTATTTCTCGACCTTAAAGCACCATTCGACTCTGTTGATCGTGAGGTCCTGTGGCAGTGTTTGTCACTGAAAGGAGTACCAAAGAAGTACATTAACCTTGTAAAGGCTCTCTACTCGAAAACAACTGGTAGAGTGAGAGCTTATGGCGAACTGTCATCAGAATTGATTACCTCAAGTGGTGTTCATCGGGGCTGTCCACTCTCTCTATTCTTGTATAACTTTGCCATTTACGTGCTTTTAGAGATAACACTTTTCTCGGCTACATTTCCAGGAGTTGAACTTTTACCGGGAGGTTCACTTGTTGACTTAGAATATGCCAATGACATAGTTCAATTTGGTGAAAACGCTGACAAAATGCAGTCTTCTGATCACTATAAGCAACAATGCAGGCATGTTCGGGATGCGATTCTCCCCCTCGAAATGCAAAATGTTGCTTCAGGATTGGATTGCATCGACACCCAAACTAATGATAGGGAGTCAAGTAGTTGAGCGGGTCGACCGCTTCACTTATCTTAGGAGTTTCATCAGCCTTTGTGGTCTGGTGTGTGACGAAATCTCAGCACGGATACAGAAGGCTCGACTAGCTTTTGTCAACCTAGGTCATTTATGGCGTAGGCGAGATATCCGTCTACCAACCAAAGGACGAGTTTACTGCGCAGCAGTTAGTTCCGTCCTGCTATATATATAGACTGTATACCCATTAGCCTTCCTGATCTCGTCACATTGTTATCTCTTTATCTGTGTAGCGCATACTTTCGTTCCCAGTGTCCAGTTGTAACCAGACAGGGTATGTATTAAATAAGTAGGAAATAAAGTGATATACAATAGTCTCACTAGGTACAAATATACATACGCTTAATCATCAACTACTTTGATGGGAGATGTTGTCTGATTTTATGAGTAGGCTGGGAGATAGCCAAGAGCGGCAAAACTAAGACGTGACATCAGTCTATGGAGTCATTGACAATTGGACCGAGTCACTTTAATAGGTGTAGACTACCTGGTTGGATTCCGCATGATTATCGTAACCAACGGTTAGAAACATTGAGTAACACGGTTTAGAATTGTTCGCAACGGTATAGGCGCACTCACTCTTTTCATAGAACATGAGTTTTAAAATATCCTTACACCTTTTTCTATACCCAATATTTTATACTACTGCTGATACTGTGAGTAGTTCTACTCCTCTGGGAATTATCTTGAAATAATTTTATCTTGATAAGCTAGTGGTATGGCAACTTCAACCCATATACAGGTTTATCATGTTCTGCGTTGCGTATAACTGATTGATGTACATTATCTGACTTTCTCAACATATCGTTTTCTGAGTATGAAAATAAAACGAAAAAGAAACGTACCGAACATCTACAAAATCATCTGAAGCAGTTTTCCGTCGAAGAAGATATTCTTTAACTAAACAACCCGTTGTCGCCGAACTACTATTGCTGCCACTACTACTACTACTAATAGTACTAGTAATATCAGTTGCATTTGTTTCTGATATATTTTGACTAGACAGTTCTTTATTATCATCAGTCGAATTACTGCTTTGTTTTGATTGACTCCCATCATCTATGTTCACTGAATTTCCTTTTGTTTTGCCTTCTCCAGACGAACTGCTTAAAGTATGCCGATGTGGACTGCTGTGACTATTTTCAGCACTGGATGGTCTTGTTGTTGTGTCTACACCTGACCCTGAATGTGTTGTCGTCGTTGCCGAAGATTGTGATCCAGCTGTTATCCAACGATCTCTCAAATGAATCAAATGTGATGATAAGGAATCGGCAAGACGTTCAGCTGTACATACAGACTGATTCATTTCTTGTGGAGTAAGTCCAGGGCATTGTCCATCTACATGGTAGTTAATGGGAAACAAAATGATTAAGCAATATTTTAACAAATATTTGTGCAGCAATAGCTTAATGGTTCAAAAAGCTGAATATTAACCAATGAGTTACGCGTTGAAAACCCGCTACATCTATTTCGGTTTGGATAGACAGTATCAATAGTCATACTGATTGATCAGTCAGTAGTTGTGAGCAATATTATATTTGTCTAGAACTTGAGTGCTGATCAAACTTTACAAACCAAGCTGCAATGCAACTAATAGTCTAAGTGACTTGATATCTCGTGACTATGTTAATTTGTCCAGTGGTTGTAGGCAATCGGTACAGAAGACTACTATGATCATTCAACATAAAACATTTCAGTCCTACAGGAGATAACTCACTGCTTGAACAGCTCGGTCGTAACATCTCAAACTGTGAAGCCGGATCTCACACAGTGGGTTACTTTCCCCAAGATTTCAGATACCCTCTGAATAACCAGTGGAAAATAACACAAAACCTAGGTTTCCAACCGAGTATCTTAATTACTAACTTCAATAACCTAATTAAGTATGTTTTGTTTTACCAATAATCTAAATGATTAGTCTTTTTTCATAAGAAAATGTCGATGCATCCATTTAATATTGGACTATTATGATAAAAAGAAGTAATCATTATTTTTATTCATATGAGTTCCTCTTCTTTCCACTTGCATTTTTCCTTCATCCCTTCCTGTGTACATTAATAGTTAAAGTCATGTCAATTATGATAGATAGATAGATAGAATGGGTCAGGTGATGATTATCCAATCAAAATACGAGAATAGAAACATCACCGGATTTTGAATAATTATTCTACATGTAAATGAACCGGATAATATGGTTTAATGATGATGATGATTTCAATAATTTTAGGATATTTCTGTAAATTATAAACTATGTATATTTCCTCTGAAGAAGCGGCTTACATTAAGTCACGAAACGTCGGAAATACAATTTTTTCCTACTCACTAGGACATAACAAAACAAAATATATTTATTATAGACAAATGATATGAATTGAGCATATTTATTGCATGAAAATGCAAAACCATACAATAATACAATATAATTAAAATTTTAGAAAATTTTCATTATTAAATATTAACTGATTAAACAGCCCCCAAATGCCCTAGTACGGCCGAAAGTGAAGAGAGTCCGCTCTCCATCTTCAAATGCTCTCATATGGCCACGTGCATAAAACTACTGACAAAGAAGTCCTACTCAGTGCCTTCTTGTGGCGAGGGTGTTTTTCACGAAATTGAGAGGACGAAAACCGAATGGCCAGCGCCCTAACGAGGTTGGTGGGCACGGAGGAACCACCCAGGGGAGTTGGAAAATTTTGATTTCAAACCAATGGTGCACATGGGCTACAGGATCCTGAACGAACAAATGATGTATGAATCTATTGTTGATCACCGGATACCATGGGATTGCATCTTCTTACGATGCTCCACTGCCATGTAGACCAGACTTTTAGATCGAAGGCTCTGGGTGTGGCCCCCTAAGAGAACCACCTGCGTCGATTTGGGCACCCGAGAAGTATCCCAGCCCTCACACAAATCGAATGGTCTATGCGGCGCAAAATAAATAAATAGATTAAACAACAACTAACTTACCTCCAATACCTAATTCTAAAAAGCATTCACCTTGTCCATTATCTAATTCTATATCCAAATAATTTTTTATACATAAGAATTGATCTTCATTTGGATTTAAGAAAACATACTAGATAATAAGTGAATTAAGACAAAACAGAAAAAAAATCATCGGTTGAAATAAACAATAGAAAAGCATGTGAGTGTAAACTCTGTCTCTATCTCTACGTACATAAAATATTTAAATAAACAAGGCTAATGAATGCATAACAAGATTTTGTTAGACACTAATTTAATAGAGCTGATGAAACTTGTAATCATCTAATTCACTTTCTATAATTAACCTAATGATTAATGTAAACTAATCCTATTGAAATATTTTAAATTGAGAGGGTGTCTTTTTGAAGCTGATTACAAAGGTCTTTCAATTAGGATCATTTCTCAGTGTTAGAAAAAGATATTTATCCTACATGGTTCCGTGTAAAAGAATGAAATCTACATTGCCACAAAACTTTATCTACAACCTAATGTTACTTACTTACGCTTGTTACTCCTCGTGGAGGATCATAGGCCGCCCACCAGCACTCTTCATCCAACCCTGACCTGGGCAATCGTTTCCAGCTCCTTCCAGTTGTTATTCATCCTTTTCATATCTGCTTCCAATTCCCGATGTAGTGTGTCCTTCGGCCTTCCTCCTTTCCGTGTCCCTTCAGGATTCAAAGTTAGCACTTGCCTCGTGATGCAGTTTGATGATTTGCGTTATGTATGTCCTATCCACTTCCAACGTCTTTTCCTAATTTCCTCAACTGGAAGCTGGTTTGTTCTCTCGAACAGAAGGCTGTCGCTGATGGTATCCGACCAACGGATATTGAGTATCTTGCGTAGATAACTATTTATAATTACTTTCACCTTCTTGATGATGGTCGTGGTAGTTCTCCAAGTTTCATCTCCGTACAGTAGGACTGTCTTGACGTTAGTATTGAAGATTCTGACTTTGGTATTGGCTGACCGTTGTTTTGAATTCCATATGTTCTTCAATTGAAGGAATGCAGCCCTTGCTTTGTTAATCCTCGCCTTTACGTTTGCATCTGATCCTTCTTGTGCATCGATGATGCTTCCCAAGTATGTGAAGAATTCTAAATATTCCACAGTCTCACTATCAAATTTGATTAGGTCGGTGTTTTCCGTGTTGTATTTGAGGATCTTGCTTTTTCATTAGTGTAAGTTGAGGCCTACAACCTCTATAGAGATACTTTTAGCAAAGAAGGAGAATTGGACGTACGTCTACTAGTCTAACCTTGTAAAAAAGAACCTCACTACAAAGAAATCCAGTTTTACAACAAACGATTGATTGTAGAATCTTGCAGAATCGAACAAACTAACCTAACATATATATGTTATGTGTGAATCGAGCTAAAGTGATTGTTTTATGTGTTCCAAAGAAAACCCGGTTTATATCACCAATTTTATTGTAAATGATCTTAGTGTTATTTTTTATACTAATTCCCTGTGAACCGGTCGTACGTTAGCATTAAGCACTGAAGTTGGCGCCGTAACCTTGAAATCTCTAAAACGCTTGTGATTGGCCCGTCCATAAATTAGAGTCTCGCCACTATTTTCTACGCTTTGATTTTTTATTCTATTTTCCAAATTGAAATTACGAGTAATCTTATCCTTTATAATTTGTTACATTAAAATATTATGTACTTAAAAATTCGTTCATTTCACTGAATAACTGATGTTCATTGTGGTGTGTACTACTTATGTCCGCAGATATAAGTAGTATGTAACACCAGTCAGAAGTCGAATATTTGCAAGTATAAGGTTGAGAAAATTAGAATAAAAAGAAGAGGTAAGAAGATTGAAAACAATCAAGATAACAACAGAAATGAAGGAATACCGAAGCTTGTAAGAGACAATTCAAAGATATGCAAATGATGTATTAAATGTATGGTTTTCACGTTTTGCTAAACTATTGGGTGATTATGAATTAAATAATTGATTGGTATTCTCCACTTGAGTGTCCGTTCACTACACTACCAACACTATTATTATTACTATTATTGTCTGAAGAGTTTTATTTTGAAATGAAAAAAATGAAATTCCACAATGATCTTCATTTACTTCTGTGAAAAATAAAAGGTCATAATAAATAATTACTCTGATAGTTGGATCTAAGCTGGACCACCGCTGTGACAAATTGAACCGATGCATATATATGCCGGGTCTTACGTTGTAGTTGACTGACTGGAGGCCACCACTGAAAACCTGGTTTTCAATGAAGGTCTAAATTAGATTAACTCATGAATTTAACTATTAAAATTACTATAATTTACACAAACCCCTATTCTGAAAATAATTATTCATTGTTTATTTGTATCTTTTATATATTTAAAAGATAGTAATCTCTAGTTTATCTCATGATTCGTTTTATTATTAAATTAATTTTCCAACCAGTGTATTGTGCTAGACACTACTCACAAGATTCCTTATAAGTAGTATGCAGCGGAGTGTCGCATAGGAGTTGCATCAGTCAGGAATCTTAGGAAGCCGAAAGCAAGAAAAGTTTAGAATAGTTGTGAGATCCAAAGAGAAGCTATAGAGGACAGTCTACAACCAGCTTAGATTACGGAACATACAAGAAACGCAAATGGAATATTGAAGACTAGGTGTATATATTTCATAAATAATCTGTGTTCTCTCTTAATAAATTTATGTATATTCCATCTAAACTTGACTTGTTTGGATATTACAGTATGAAGTAACACTTAACAAACAATGTACTGATGAATATGAATACAATCAATCGTTATAATTAAGTGAATGATGCAACTAATGATAATTAATAAAAAAGTAAAAATATAGAATAACACTAACAAATAGTTCGACAGAAGTACGTTGAAATTTAAGGAAATAAATTTCTTAAGAAAATAATCGGAACAAATTATGTCGAGCTTGTATATCATGATGAACCAATCCATTAATATTAGGTGCATAGATGCAATAAAACAAGTTAAAAGTTGACAGTATTAAGACTATTTGACATTTTTAAATGATGAAGAAATGTGAACATCAACTCAATAAAACAATAATATATTACCTTATCTGATAAGATGGAAAGAGTACTAGGGTTTCCATCCATAATTTTAAATATCAGTCTCCACGAGAATAATATTAATCACAGAACTCATTCGAGAAAAAGCCTAAAAAAAATGAAGATCATTAATCAACGATTATCAAAATATATGAATATTACTTGTCCAAATTATATCAGAATTATGTGCAGAGGGTAATTGGTTGATGATAACAATTACGACGGTTGGACTTAATATTTCTAAACCAACTTACAAATCTATCTACTATATTGACTTCCAACAAAGGTATAAACATGTATCCCTAGATTATCAACACGAATGGGACAACATTATAAAATTAACCACAATAACTCTACCTTGTAAATAGATGCTCGCTAATAAGTAACTCATCATCAGTTAGCACTAAGGCATCTATCCAAAATGCTTTAATGAGATTGTACGTTCGGCAAACGAATTTATTATGGATTACACCTACATGTTAGTCTGTTGGGACACAAACAAATGATGTAGAGTTTTCTCACCATAAATAGATTACTTAAGCTGAATTTTTAAGTACCAAAAGCTTATAACGTAGATATAGTCAAGTAATTTGGCTGAATATCTTGGACGAAAAGGCCATGAGACATTTAGATAAACATATGCAAAGTATTCTGAAATAACTGGGCTTATTCAGAATAACATAAAATTGTACTTGAGCATCAGTAAAATGAGTGTTAATCGTAGTTTTAGAATAATTGTGTCACGAAGCAGAGTGAAGAACTCCTTTCGTGGAGTAGAAAAGGCAAATCAAGTCAATACACCAGTAACATCAAAGAACAATTGGATATCCAGATAAAAAGCTCAACGAAGGAATCTGTATGGTGAATGAAGACAAAGTAAGTCAGTCATTCAGTCAGTTACAACACAGAACCCGGTACATATGCACATCGGTTCAAGTTGCCATACACATATGAGATTATCAGACCAAATCCCACAATAGCAGAGGTAGTAACAGTATCAGTGGCAATAGGGGAAATTAGGTATTGAACATACGTTTCAAGAAACTATAAATTAATTTATTTTAACACATAAATATTGGTACGAGGAGGCAACAAATACATATGCACCACACAAATCTCATTTGATATGTGATACTCTCCGGGTGCCCAAATCGAAGCAGGTGGTTATCTTAGGGAGCCACACCCAGAGCCTTCGACCTGAAGGTCTGATCCACAAGGCAGTGGAGCATCATAAGGAGATACAGTCCCATGGTAGCCGGTGACCAATAACTGCTTCATACGCCATTTGTTCCCTTAGGGTACTGGAGCCCATGCGCACCATTGGTTTGGAATCAGAGTTTTCCAACTCCCTTAAGTGGACTCTCCATGTCCACCAACCCAGTTGAAGCGCCGGACATTCGCTTTTCGTTCTCTCAATTTCGCAAACAACACCCCCGCCACGAGAAGGCAGTGAGTAGGACTTCCCTGCCGGAGGCTATATACGCGTGTCCACGTGAGAGCATTTAGAGAGGGAGAGTGGACTCTCCCCACTCTCGTTCGTACCGGGGCATTTGGGGGCAAAAACTAAATTAGTGAAATAAAAACATGGAAATTATGAATTTAGAATTTGGGAGAAGACAAAGTATGGATGGACCTGCACCGTGTAATTTGAAGTCTATAACTGCTAGACAAAATGAGCAAGCGAACCTCAACCGCGTAGTTTACACCTAAAAGCATGGCCAAGGTCGACTGTCGATGACTTCATGAACTGATGCCATGTTTTGGTTTGGCCGTCCCTATCTTATTTCCACCCAACACATATACCGATCAACATCGCCCGTTGAGGTAAGCGGTGGTTGGGACATGTGTTACGTATGCCCAACCACCTCGGTTGATAGAGACTCACCAGCCTATCAATCAACTTGCCATCCTCACCTAGTATTCCACTGCTAAACCAAGAATTCTGAATCCGTGTCGAGATTTTGTCAAACACTAGACCGCCAGGATTGATGAGACTATCGAGATAAGTGAAGCAGTCGATGCGTTCAATTACTCCACTCCCTAACATCCATTCAAAAGCCATGACCCAATCCTAAAGCACCATTTTGCATTTGAAAGGAGACAATCACATCCCAAACAAATTTTCATTGCTCCTTAAGGTGGTCAAAAAACTGCATTTTGTCACCGTCACCCGCCCTCCCTCTCGAAATGCTCTCACACGGCCACGTGTATACAGCCTCTGCCAAGGAAGTCCTACTCATTGTCTTCTCGTGGCGGGGTGTTGTTTACGAAAATGAGAGGACGAAAAGCGAATGTCCGGCGCTTTAACCGGATCCCAAACCAATGGTGCACATGGGCTCCAGGAACCTGAAACAACAAATGGCGTATGAACCAATCGTTGGTCACCGGCTACCATGGGACTGTATCTCCTCACGATGCTCCACTGCCTTGTGGATCAGACCTTCAGGTCGAAGGCTCGTGGTGTGGCCCCCTAAGATAACCACCTGCTTCGGTCTAGGCATCTGAGCAGTATCACAGCCCGCACACAAATATGATGAACTGTCGATAATTATGGAGTCACAGGTTAATGTAAGCAAAAAAAACTATGTAAATCGTTTGTTTAGATAAGTTTGTATCCTTTATTTATTTATTTATTTGAACACATAAATATTGGTACAAGAGAGCGCCAATATATATGCACCACACAAAACAATATAAATCTGAGAAGAAAAAAAGTGAGGAACGTAAAAAAATAAAAAACAATAACGAAGGGATTGGCGTAAGGTAGTGTAATAATAATAATAGCAATAGTAGGGGGACAGAAGTGTACAATCAGAAGAAATCTTTCAGTTAAGGAAGAAGCAACCACTTTTTTTATGAAGAAAGTAAAAGAAGGTTACAACAGGATCGCCACTGGCTTCTATTCTGAGCCATATCTGATAACGTCTCTAGCCACTGTGTAGCACCATCTCTCGGACCCCAACCAGGGAGTCGTGAAGGTCCGACACAAGCCAATCATTTGCAGCTTTCTTTCATACCACGACACCATGTCATGCACTGACCACCTCTCCGCTTTTTCCAACTAGTCCCAGAGTCGGCAAATAATGCACGACGTGGAATTCTCTAGGACGACATTAGGAGAACATGTCCAAGTCACCGAAGTCGGTGTTTCAAGATGGTGACATCGATTGCAATATCATCTCTGTGCCCGAACACACGATGCCGAACCTCTGCATTACTGACATGGTGTTGCCACTGGATGTCAGCAATCCTTCGGAGACAGCGATGATCGAACACAGAGAGTCGTCTAACGTCCTCAACTCGGAGAGGCCAGGTTTCACAAGCATCGAGCAAAACTGATCTCACCGACGCGTTGTAGATCTGACCTTTTACAGCCAGACTAACATCACGAAGGTGCCAAAGATGGTCCAGATTGGCATAAGCCGCTCTGGCTTTCACTATACGTGCATTGATCTCATCACTCACACCCCCACCAGCACTTATGCAGCTACCTAGATACACGAACTTCTCGACTACTTCTATCTGCTCATCATCCAGGGTGAGTACAGGATTTGAATCCTGCCAGTCTTGTAGAAGTACTTTGCACTTCGAAGGTGCAAAGCACATACCATACCTACGGACACTGATTGCCAACTGATTAAGTGCGGATTGCATGCCTTGGGCATTATCGCACAGTAAGACAATATCGTCCGCATACTCAAGGTCGAGAAGTCTTTCTCCAGGCAACAGATTCACACCACCATTACTTACATCCATCAGAGCTGTTTCCAGAATGTCATCGATGGCAAAGTTGAAAATGAATGGTGAGATTGAGTAACCCTGCCTAACCCCACTACTCGAATGGAACAATGGAGAAAGGTGGGTGTATGCCCTCACTCTGCCTGAGGTGTTTTTATATAGGGCTTTTAGGATGTTAATAAACTTCTCAGGCACACCCTTCTTCAATAGACAATCCCAGAGAACAGTCCTATCCAACGAATCGAAGGCAGCCCTAATGTCAAGAAACACTACGATTGTTGGCCTTTGAAAAGTATGGTGGTGTTCTAACATTTGGCGGAGGGTGAAGATATGATCAGTACATCCTCGACCAGAACGAAACCCAGCCTGCTCCTCGCGAGTCAATCTTTCTCGGGTTTTGAACAACCTACGAAGTATGACGGAAGCCAATAGCTTGGACGCAATCGGAAGTAGACTTATCCCCCGATAGTTGTTACAGGAACGACGTGAACCCTTTTTAAAGATAGGGACAACTATCAACTCATTCCATGACGTTGGTACACTCTCTAGTTCCCAAACCTTTGTAAACAACGTCGTCAATTCCTTAGTCAAAAAGTCACCACCATCTTTAAAAAGAGCCGGAGGTAAGTCATCTGGGCCAGGTGATTTGTAACGCTTCAAGAGTTGGAGTTCCTTGCGGACTTTCTCCTCATTTGGTGGACCAGTCGTCACCGGCCATGGAGGGCAGGACAGTTTGACTGATGTTGCCCGAGCAGCAGGCCAGTTGAACTGCTTTTCGAATAATTCTGCCCATCGTCCAAGACGTCGATGGATGTTAGTGATTGGCATCCCATCATCCTCGCACATTGTTTCACTCACACCAGACTTCTTGCTGCCAGTGGCTGGGATGAGTTGGAAGTGCTTCCAGTAGTTATCAGATGCAGCTGCTGCTTCCAGCTCATTAGCACTCTCCGACCATCAGGCTTCTCGGTCCTTACTCAAGCTTTGCCCAATTTCGCTACGTAACATCCTTCGTTTGTGGTCAAACTCACGGTTACCCGGAGTAAACCGACGGGCTTCAATGAGTTGTAAGGAACCTGAAGAAACCCAGTGCTTAAAAGCGGGACGTTTCGCAAACCCACAACTGACTGTACCCGCCATTTTCATGGCGTCATGCAATTGCAACTAATGCTTATCTATACTTTTCGATGGAATGGTAGCTAGCCTAGAAACTAGCTCGGTTCGATACCTACTAGCAACAGAAGTTGCAACCAGCTTGCTAACATCAACCCGTTGGTGGCGGTCACTTCGTTGGCCACTGAAAAGTAAGGCAAGATTGGCGCAGACCAAGGCATGGTCAGAGTCCAGATAGGTACTCCAGAAGGAGCGGCAGTCTTGTACACAACCACGCCTGCGGTAGCTGATCGCGATGTGATCAATCTGAGTCCAGGCCTGAGATGCAGAGGGAGGACGCCAGGTGGCACATCGGCGATGACTGTGCCGAAAGTTAGTGCTAGTCAGAAACAGGTTGTGGTCTGTGCACAGTTGCAGTAGACGGTCCCCGTTATGACCTGCGACCAACAAGTCCCCATCGTCCACCTAAACGACTCTCTTCTGTGCCTAGACGCCCGACCTGAGCATTCAAGTCTCCGGCTAGTACTACAATATCTGTCGAACGCACTCTCTGGAGAACAGATAACTGATGGTAAAACTCATCCTTGATTGCATCCGGGCTGCACTCGCCTACAACAACATTATCTAAAATTATGTTCGAAAAGACGGCGAAAAAAGTAGAGACCATTATTAATATGACAGCCTATACTCAAGGGAATTCTAGGAAAATAGTTTCATCAAAATATTTAGATGAATGTGTCAAGTCAGTTTTTATTCAAGGTTTATTTTTACCAAAACCTAAGCAAACCCAGGCACACTTGCCACCTAACGTGTTTGGTAGACAACTGTAACAAGCCAAACCTGACAGTTGGAGGGAGATCAGAATTTACTAGTCTGAAGACAATGACATTCTGTGGTTCAGTTCTCTGCGACTTATTTATTTGAGAGGTAGGAACTGAACATTGAGACGACAGGCACTTTTGATGTGCACCTAGTACGACCCATAGATGAGCACATAAATTTGTACTTGGTAAATGAGTTAATTCCCCACTAGTGCTCAGTAACTGTATGGACCATGCCTATCTTAATTTACTGCCTTGGATTATCGACATGCTTCTATAAACCAAGTAAAAAAACATATCAAATGAGATCTGTGTGGCGCATATGTATTTGGTGCCTCCCTGTACCAATAAATATGTGTCAAAATAAAATAAACCAAGTAGTAGTAAAAACTAGAGGAATTTACTGCCTAATCCGATAGTCTTCTGAGAATGGAACAGACATGACCAAGACGAAACAATATTGGTAAACAGAACGTTATATAGACATGCTGACGAAGGTTTACCCCAGATTTTCTTTTTTATATCCGCCCAAACACATGATAGACCGGATTACGATTAAGTAAGTTCGATTGATGAGGGGTTAAAATATGTTGATAACACTGTTAAATCCCCTGTCGTGGCAGACCAATAACTGTTGTACTAAGTGACATCAGGTCTGAATCCGGATGTTATTGCTGTCTCAGAAACTTGGTTAACGTCAGAAGTATTAGATAATGAAATTCAGTTGACTGGTTTTTTATCCAGTAGGGCTGATAGATTAAACCGTAGGAGAGGCGGGGTTATCATTTACACGAAAATTACCCTAACCATAAGAGCGGCTGAGACAGTGGCACATGTTTCAGACATGTGAACTGATGCGATGCAAGCTGAAATGTAGACGGCAAGATATTGAATTAGTTGTAGTATGTCGCAGTCCAGAATGTATAGCAGATGATTTTCTCCTAAGTAAACTTAAGTCCTGGTGTAACAAGGGTAAAGGCTTTGTAGTAGGCAACTTTAATGCATCATATATAAACTGCGTTAACTTAGAAGCAGGGTCATCGATAACGTCGTTCGATTGCGAACTGTTGGAAACCTCGATTGGATTAGCTTGATTCTAACACATTGGAAATCCCACAAGATATGACTTACCAAACCCTTCTTCTCTTTTAGATTTAGTCTTCACACACGGTGATAACGTTAGTCAAATGACTTTCCTCCCACCACTAGGGAGAAGTGACCATGCAGTCATATTATTCAAATTCATAGCTGAGATTGCCTGTCAAACAGTCGCGCCAGTCCGTCCTAATATATGGGAGGCAGATATGGAGGCAATCAACTCCACAGCATCGGCTGAAAACTGGGAAATTGACGCAAGGGCATCATTAACTCAACCATACATACCCTGGATAGTTCCAAAGAAGAAGCACGGCCATCCCTGGATAGGCCGGGATATTCGACGTTTACTAAGACAAAAGAAGAAATGTTGGGATATTGCCATCCGCTTTGGCACAGCAGGTACGATGGAACGCTACAGATCAGTAAGAAACACGTATATAACTAAAATTCGGGAAGCTCAAAGAATATGAAATGCAGTTGGCACAATCTGCACTCAAGCAACCCAAGAGAATATTCTCGTACATTAACTACAAAACAAGGATGCATCATTGGATTCCCAACCTAATTAAGGAAGGGAGTGATTCTGAAATGATAGAGGAAGATCAAGAAAAAGCAGAGGCTATGACTGACTATTTTGGGGCAGTTTTCACTCAGGAATCTCCTCTAGCAAAGAACAAGACCAAAATAGTCAACAAACCACCTGCTCACTTAAGACTTCGATCAAGACGATGTGCTTAAGGCTCTAAGCACCTTAGACATGAAGAAGTCAACAGGACCAGATGAACTACATCCCGAAATCCTGAGACATATTGCACAATATATCGCGGCTCCACTGACTGTGATATTCTATATGTCACTTGACCAAGGTGTATTACCTATGGACTGGAAGGACACAATCATCACTCACATACAAAAAACAGGACCAAGAAAACTTCCATAAAACTACAGACCTGTAAGCCTCATCAATGTTGTAGTTAAAATATTGGAAAGAATAGTCAAACGGACCATAACGGCATTTATGGAAACCAATAACTTGCTAAACATAGGACAACACGGTTTTAGAAATGGTCTATCTTGTATAACGAACCTCCTTATAGCAAGGGAGTTTTGGATAAAGGCGCTAGACAACGGAAACTCAGTGGATGTTGTCTACGTAGACTTCAGTAAGGCTTTGGACAAGGTGCTAACTAATAGACCACCATTGAAGCTGGAAAATCTAGGTACTGCAGAACCTTCCCCAATTGGGCTTAAGGATTTACTAGTAGGTCGTAGACAGAAAGTAAGAATAAATTAGAAGTGCTCCATCTGGAGACCAGTACTTAGTGGAGTACCTCAAGGTTCCGTCCTAACCCCTTTACTTTTTATACTGTGCAAATGAACTCCCAAGTATAGTACAGTCCCCAATGTTATTATACGCTGACGATGTAAAAATCGGGCGAGTAATAACTGGAGGCGCAGACGCATGTGCTCTTCAGGCAGACTTAAATAATATGATTCACTGGTCTAAAAAGTGACTGATACCTATCAACGCGGAAAAGTATGTCTACATGCACCTTGGGGATACAAAGGTTAATAGGTACAACGTACGGGAAGTGCCTGTACCCGTGGTCCAGTCCCACAATCATCTTGGAGTGAGAGTGAGTCATGATCTTAAGACCACAGACCACTGCCTGGAGGTTGCAGCTAAGAGGTTTAGAACCCTGTAGGCTTTAAGACGGACATTCACCAAGTTAGATACTACCGTGTTCATCACAGTATACACAACCTTAGTGAGAACTAAGCTTGAGAACTGCGTCCAGGCTGCAAGTCTCTTATCAAAAGGTGACTCGGATATCCTGGAAAAAGTAAAAAAGGCGGCTACCCGTGCAATTTCAGAACTTTTGGGCTTAGAATACAAAGAGCAGCTTGAAAAATTAGACCTTCTTACTCTGCTCTACCACAGATTAAGAGGTAATTTGATTTTGATGTATGGAATGTTGTGAAATGACTTTGGACCTAATATATCCTCTTTTTCCTCCCACTAGATCGACACATCTCAGAGGACATAGCAGGCGAGTAGAAAAGCCCAGAACGAACAAAATACCCGTGGCATACAGGTTTTCACAACAAGTCATCAGTCCTTGGAACCTGTTACCCGAAGCAGTGATGTCCGTACCTTCAGTTGGTTTATTCAGGAGAAGACTAGGCACTCACAGGAGCATACTAGAAAAGGAATAACATAGGCTGTAGGCCTTCTGTCCTTACTACACAAATCTGAAATCTATCAAAAACAGCCACATACAATTCCCTGGGTAATGCTTTAGAATCAGTGTTTGTGTAATGGAAGTAACTTTGCTTTCTTAACTTCTAAATTCTGAGTACATTTTTGAAACTACTACTTTGGTTTTGTATATCTTCAAATGGTTACCAGTGTTAACTGGGATAACCATAGTAGTCCGAGTTTTGGGGTATTCTCCTAAATTAATTTAAAACTTTGGGGAAAATATAAATTAATGGAATTTTTCAGGCTTTTGGTAGCATGTTCCACGAAGTCTCTGATGCGGTCCCTTAAAACTGGTAAAAATGTTCATCAAGTGGGGGTATCTATCTGCATAAATATAAATAGCCAGATCTATCGATAGCAATTACCGTACACTAAAGCATGAAATTTCAAAATTGCCTGACTGCCAGCACTATGTGTTCTGTAAGTTGATATTTAATTTATTAATGAAATTTCGACAACTGAAAATTGACTTTACTAATTTGCCTTCGACGTCGATCGTTGATATACGATCGATCGCTAACTTTCTTTTGCAAATGTGGCCTACCACACATAATTTTCGTGTTAGCCTAGAAAAGTGATCCATTCATACCAGATTATACTCAAATATATCATAACTAAGAAGTGACTTACTACGAAACCACTCAGGCTAACGCTTAATTTCCTCTAGGTAAGTAAGATTTGAAGAGTTTGCCAGTTTTTGCTGCCTAATTCCTATTGGTGGATTCGTATTCCGACTCGGATTCCGATTTGTGTAGTAAGGACAGAAGGCCTACGACCTGTGTTATTCCTTTTCTAGTATGTTTCTATGAGTGTCTAGTCTTCTATTGAATAAATCAACTGAAGGTACGGATGATGACAGCTTCATCTGCAACTGCACAGGACTTTCCGTAGTGAAGTTTAGCGCTGACTTGGTGTTCTGGAAACTGCAGCACCTAAGAAAAGACACTCTTCCTGTCCCAAATATGGTTCATTCTGCTATACTGAGGGAAGCAGCCCCAGTCATGTCAACACCGCTTAGCGCGATGTTCTCACACTCGCTAAGTCGAGGCAAACCACCGAAAAATTGGAAGCTGGCTTACATCACACCAATTTTCGAAGGAGGTTGACGCAGCGAAACTTCAAGTTAACGACCGGTAGCTCTTCTCTGTATACCTTCAAAAATCATGGAGTCCCTGATGGTATACATCACTATTTAGAGCGCCTTCAATCACTTAACTTTTACCCATTAGAGTATAGGCGTCTTAGAGGCGATCTTCTAATGGCTTACAGTATCCTTAACACCTCTGGACATCCCCTTAAACACCTACTTAAGCTTAGTCTTAATACAAACCTCAGAGGTAACACCCAGAAACTGAAGACACAACATAGCAGGACGGACTGCAGACACGACTCCTACTCCTTAGGAGTTGTCAAATGCTGGAATTCGCTGCCGAATGAACTAGTCCAAGCGACTTCTCAGGAGTCCTTTACGGGGAAACTTGACCTATTATTAAGGACTCAGGATAACATCTTATCATGAGTCATCAATTTCTTTCTTTTCTAATCTATTATAGTTAATATGTCTAGATTCCTGCCTGGAGGTATTGGTGATCCCTGCTATTAGACACGGAAGCCTGTTAAGCGAAAGCTCATTCTCTTCCGTCCAAACCATTTGAACCAATTGAACCATTTGGACATCACTGCTTCGGGTAACAGGTTCCAAGGACTGATGACTTGTTGTGAAAACCTGTATGCCACGGGTATTTTGTTCGTTCTGGGCTTTTCTACTCGCCTGCTATGTCCTCTGAGATGTGTCGATCTAGTGGGAGGAAAAAGAGGATATATTAGGTCCAAAGTCATTTCACAACATTCCATACATCAAAATCAAATTACCTCTTAATCTGTGGTAGAGCAGAGTAAGAAGGTCTAATTTTTCAAGCTGCTCTTTGTATTCTAAGCCCAAAAGTTCTGAAATTGCACGGGTAGCCGCCTTTTTTACTTTTTCCAGGATATCCGAGTCACCTTTTGATAAGAGACTTGCAGCCTGGACGCAGTTCTCAAGCTTAGTTCTCACTAAGGTTGTGTATACTGTGATGAACACGGTAGTATCTAACTTGGTGAATGTCCGTCTTAAAGCCTACAGGGTTCTAAACCTCTTAGCTGCAACCTCCAGGCAGTGGTCTGTGGTCTTAAGATCATGACTCACTCTCACTCCAAGATGATTGTGGGACTGGACCACGGGTACAGGCACTTCCCGTACGTTGTACCTATTAACCTTTGTATCCCCAAGGTGCATGTAGACATACTTTTCCGCGTTGATAGGTATCAGTCACTTTTTAGACCAGTGAATCATATTATTTAAGTCTGCCTGAAGAGCACATGCGTCTGCGCCTCCAGTTATTACTCGCCCGATTTTTACATCGTCAGCGTATAATAACATTGGGGACTGTACTATACTTGGGAGTTCATTTGCACAGTATAAAAAGTAAAGGGGTTAGGACGGAACCTTGAGGTACTCCACTAAGTACTGGTCTCCAGATGGACCACTTCTAATTTATTCTTACTTTCTGTCTACGACCTACTAGTAAATCCTTAAGCCCAATTGGGGAAGGTTCTGCAGTACCTAGATTTTCCAGCTTCAATGGTGGTCTATTAGTTAGCACCTTATCCAAAGCCTTACTGAAGTCTACGTAGACAACATCCACTGAGTTTCCGTTGTCTAGCGCCTTTATCCAAAACTCCCTTGCTATAAGGAGGTTCGTTATACAAGATAGACCATTTCTAAAACCGTGTTGTCCTATGTTTAGCAAGTTATTGGTTTCCATAAATGCCGTTATGGCCCGTTTGACTATTCTTTCCAATATTTTAACTACAACATTGATGAGGCTTACAGGTCTGTAGTTTTATGGAAGTTTTCTTGGTCCTGTTTTTTGTATGTGAGTGATGATTGTGTCCTTCCAGTCCATAGGTAATACACCTTGGTCAAGTGACATATAGAATATCACAGTCAGTGGAGCCGCGATATATTGTGCAATATGTCTCAGGATTTCGGGATGTAGTTCATCTGGTCCTGTTGACTTCTTCATGTCTAAGGTGCTTAGAGCCTTAAGCACATCGTCTTGATCGAAGTCTTAAGTGAGCAGGTGGTTTGTTGACTATTTTGGTCTTGTTCTTTGCTAGAGGAGATTCCTGAGTGAAAACTGCCCCAAAATAGTCAGTCATAGCCTCTGCTTTTTCTTGATCTTCCTCTATCATTTCAGAATCACTCCCTTCCTTAATTAGGTTGGGAATCCAATGATGCATCCTTGTTTTGTAGTTAATGTACGAGAATATTCTCTTGGGTTGCTTGAGTGCAGATTGTGCCAACTGCATTTCATATTCTTTGAGCTTCCCGAATTTTAGTTATATACGTGTTTCTTACTGATCTGTAGCGTTCCATCGTACCTGCTGTGCCAAAGCGGATGGCAATATCCCAACATTTCTTCTTTTGTCTTAGTAAACGTCGAATATCCCGGCCTATCCAGGGATGGCCGTGCTTCTTCTTTGGAACTATCCAGGGTATGTATGGTTGAGTTAATGATGCCCTTGCGTCAATTTCCCAGTTTTCAGCCGATGCTGTGGAGTTGATTGCCTCCATATCTGCCTCCCATATATTAGGACGGACTGGCGCGACTGTTTGACAGGCAATCTCAGCTATGAATTTGAATAATATGACTGCATGGTCACTTCTCCCTAGTGGTGGGAGGAAAGTCATTTGACTAACGTTATCACCGTGTGTGAAGACTAAATCTAAAAGAGAAGAAGGGTTTCGTAAGTCATATCTTGTGGGATTTCCAATGTGTTAGAATCAAGCTAATCCAATCGAGGTTTCCAACAGTTCGCAATCGAACGACGTTATCGATGACCCTGCTTCTAAGTTAACGCAGTTTATATATGATGCATTAAAGTTGCCTACTACAAAGCCTTTACCCTTGTTACACCAGGACTTAAGTTTACTTAGGAGAAAATCATCTGCTATACATTCTGGACTGCGACATACTACAACTAATTCAATATCTTGCCGTCTACATTTCAGCTTGCATCGCATCAGTTCACATGTCTGAAACATGTGCCACTGTCTCAGCCGCTCTTATGGTTAGGGTAATTTTCGTGTAAATGATAACCCCGCCTCTCCTACGGTTTAATCTATCAGCCCTACTGGATAAAAAACCAGTCAACTGAATTTCATTATCTAATACTTCTGACGTTAACCAAGTTTCTGAGACAGCAATAACATCCGGATTCAGACCTGATGTCACTTAGTACAACAGTTATTGGTCTGCCACGACAGGGGATTTAACAGTGTTATCAACATATTTTAACCCCTCATCAATCGAACTTACTTAATCGTAATCCGGTCTATCATGTGTTTGGGATTCACTTCATCTGATCCTTTCGAGTTTCCGTGTCTAAAGTGCTAAGTGCCTTTAATACGTCATCTCGATCAAAGTCCACAATGAGCAGCCGATTTCGTGACTTTGTATTGGAGTTTTGTCTAAAAGAGAGTCTTGAGTAAAACTGTATCAAATAGTTCGTCATGGCCTATGCTTTCTTAGTCTCCCAAGTTTGGGGAAATTTCGAGGAATTTTAGTGAAATTTTGTGGAATTTTGGGTAAATTTCGGCGAAATCCCTAAAGTCAAATTACCTTCACCAGGGTCGAAGAGAAGGTTTGGGGTTTTGATGCCATTTCTCCAAAGTTTTCTATAGCGGCTTGCCCAAAATTTCTTCAAAACGGGTCAAATTTTCCCCAAAATTGAGAGCTCGAGTTGTCCTGCTCTTCCCCTATCATTTGAGACCCACTCTTTTTAATTTGGTTAGGAATCCATCGGTGCGTTCTCGTTCTATAATTTATGTACAAAAACATTCTATTCGTCTACTTTATTACAGATTGGGCCAACTGCTTCTCATATTTTCGCTGAGCTACTTTGATTGTACTTATACACTGATTTCGGGCGAACCTTTAGCATCCCATCACATTTACTGCGCCAAGGTCAATGGCGAGATTCCAATTTTTTCTTTTGTCTTAGTAAACGTCAAATATCCCTGTCTGTCCAGTGATGACCATGTTTTTCTTCTTTTGAGCTGTCCGGGGTATAAATGGTTGAGTTACTAGATTGGATAGCTGGCAGAAACGAATTCATGCCTCTTCTACTGAAACGCTGAATTTCAGTATCATACACTTGTGAAATCAAACATATTTCTGAATTGGCGATGACATAAGCGTTTTCTGTTTCCACCACGTTTTTGGACCGCGCCATTTTATTAAGTAGGTTGTGAGCATTTGTATAAATACTTTAATTCTATGAAAAACTTTCCCATACTACTCATAGTAGTTTGGTGATCAATTTACGCCAAACTTTTACAAAGTGAAGACCCTTAAGTATGAGGTTCTTTTCAATGTTTAGATAGCGCTCATTTATTTCTGCTCCTGCTGAATACAATAACCCAGGATAAAATCCAAACGGACATATATTCCGAATTAGGTCAACTGGCGTGAATTTTCCACCATTAAGTTTATTTATCCGGTGGAAGCAAAGTGGCTTTGACGAAGTGGTTTGGTTGCCTACCTTCGAAATCCACTTTTTATCGGTCTGTAAAGCTAATGAATGTTGGCTTCAAGAATTTACATCATATCTCCTCCATTTATAAGGTCGGATGGCTTTCTATACTCTCTAGAACAAAGTTGAATTTGAACACGCAGTGATTACTTTGAATCTTACCAAACACTGTCCAGCAAGAAATCAGAATGATGGTAAGTAG